TGTACAACACAGAGAACAAAAGTTTCCATCTCAATTATCTCAAGATGAATTTGTGTATGTATACAAGTCACATATGTCATAGAGAAAAATGTCCTTGAAAAAATGGTGGCAAAAACAAATCTTTGTTGCTACTGTTGAGTGTGTGAGTACGCAAACCTTTGTGTGTACTCACACACACATACAGAAACACATTGCACAGATCTATAACGCTCTGAAAGAATTACCTTAAAATAATGGTAATCGGGATTTTAAAAAGTGAGAACACTAACATGGAAAAATATATTTATAGATCTTTACTAGATACTAGAGAAATTCTAGGGAAAGTTCAATGTTCATGTCCATTGAATACGGACTAGTTCTCTCTTAATTTCTGGCAAGAATAAACACTTTTAATTTATATATGTAAAACATATATAACATACATATATATAATACATATGCATTTAAAAGTTTATTCTTATCAGAGGTTAATATATATTATATATCACAATTATATTATTATATATGTATACTACATATATGACTATGCATGTATTATTATAAATATAGAGTTCATTTTTAAGAATGGGGACGGTGTGACAGTTACCCTTGTGACTCCAAGTATTGTCTATAGACCATCAGCACCAGCATCAGCATCACCTGGGAGTTTGGTAGAAGCTCAGCAATGTCTCAGACCCACTGAAGCAGAATCTGCATTTTAACAAGATTCTCAGGTGGTTTGTATGCTATTTTTTTAAATAAGATTTTATTTATTTGTTTGAGAGAGAGAGAGAGAGCACGAGCAGGGGCAGTGGCAGGCAGAGGGAGAAGCGGACTCCCTGCAGAGCAGGGAGCCCGATGCGGGGCTTGATCCCAGGACCCTGGGATCATGACCTGATCCGAAGGCAGATGCTTTAATGGACTGAGCCACCCAGGTGCCCTGATTTGTATGCTTTTTAAATAACGAAAATTCAAGGATTCCTAGTCAAAATTACCAATTTTTTTTTCTGTATTGTTTGCCAGGGGACAGTAGACTTGTCGATTCAAACCATGTTTTTACTTCCTTGATGTATAGAAACTACTTCTGATTGTTCTAAAATTTCTAATCACATTTCAAGGTTCCAATCAGATATCAAAACTATTCAATAGTCACTAAAATTTTTAAGGGGACAAGAAGGAAGTTTGTCCCTTTATTACACCAGGCATATACTCAAGAGAAAAACATAAACATTGTTCAATGTAAGACCACAGTAGTCACTTATTTTTATATATTTTAAATCTGAAATGGTAAGTCACCCTAATTTTGTATGATATATATATGAAAATTATATATATGTATATATATACAACTGTGAAAGTCAATTATTATTTTAATAATGGATTAAACATTTCTTTTAAAAAAAGTTGGAAAAATCTCCCAGATACTTTATTGGCAATAACATCTTCATTTCTCATCTGCTCTTTTAAACTTCTTGTTTAAATCCTGCTTTAAATTCCAGAGGGATCCAAGACTGTTCCTCCTTGCCAAGTCAAGGGAGTGATTCCCCCTTCCTGAACTTAGTTCTTCAATTTAGTCTTCCAGAGAAAGTGGTGCTCTGCCTCCCTACTCCAACTCGTTCCTCCCCCAGGTGGCAGGAAGGAAGATAGCCCTTTTTACCAGCAAGAAACAAAGTTATTGCTATAAAGAAGTAAAAAGTTAAAGGGACAAAGGAAACAAAATCCTGGTTAATCACAACCTGGATAATTAGCCTTGACTAGGGATTCTGCTAAGGTAACTGAACTGTCTTAGTTACAAGGGTAACTTACCATAAACTCTTTGGTAGCTAAACATTTTCATCATACGGAGTAAAAGATTATCTGGTACCTCAGGACTGTTGGAGATATGAATGTTTTCCATAATGCATTTAGTGTTGTTGCAAAGTTAATGTTATTGAACATATATATGCATTCATATATGTATACATTCATACACAGACATAAGCATATACATGTATATTGAGAGAGGCACACATTTCCTAATAATTAACTTCGCAGAAACAAAGAAGCTTTGTAGGAAACCACCTAAACATCCCCAACTCTTCACAATTTAAAGTAAACAGTAAGGACATGTTATAGTTGACTTGAAAAATATCTTAACTGAAATCAGATTTTTTAAAAACAGGGTCAAAAGCAACCCTTTAGTATTTATAAGACCATTACAAACTGGGCGCCTGGGTGGCTCAGTCGTTAAGCATTTGCCTTTGGCTCAGGTCATGATCCCAGGGTCCTGGGATCGAGTCCCACATCAGGCTCCCTGCTCCGCAGGAAGCCTGCTTCTCCCTCTCCCATTCCCCCTGCTTGTGTTCCTGCTCTCGCTATGTCTCTCTGTCAAATAAATAAATAAAATCTTTTTAAAAAAAAAAAGACCATTACAAACTGATATAAGTATATAATGTGAAGTTTAAAACAATAAATGAAGGAAAAATCTGTATAATGAGTGCCCTCATCTTATCGCACTAAGATACTGCAGTGTGTCCCCTGGGGACCGGCCTTGGCTCCAAAGCAGGGAAATGTTCAGCGAAGAAGAACATGTTAAAAACAAACTTCTTCTACCTAGAACCACGCCAATAATCACGCCACATGTAATTTTAAACAGGAAGCTTTGTCTTAATTGTAGAACTAAAACTTGATGACAGTGATATGTTCTAAGTCATTTCCCTCAGTCCCCCTCTCCGGGGGAGGGCGCTATCACAGGCAGCCTGGTGCACGGAAGGGGACAGCATAGGCTTGGGAAAACCCAGGTTCAGATCCTGGCTCTATCCTGGAGCTCTGTGGCCTCAGACAAATTCCTTAGCCCCTCTTCGCCTTAATTTTCTTACCTGTAAAAGTGTATTCTTGTGAATCCAGCAACAAAGCAGATAAAGGGGCCTGGCACACAACATATGGTGAACAACAGTACGCGTCATTATGACTGTAGTTCCTACTATTACAGATATGCAAATGGACCACCATTTCTACAAAGATAGTATTTATTGCTTTATAAGCTCCGTATAGATACTTCCCAGCTCATGTCAAAACCAACTTACCTTAGTCATTGCTCACAAGGAGATGCTATTAAGTTTTATGTCATTAAAAACAAACAGACCATCATTTCCAATCTACCAACTCCATCAAATGTTCAAAAGACATTTTTTAAAGGCATCGAGTTGATTAGATTGGTCGTATGGTGGTATATATTAAAAATCCTTTCCCACTTCTGGAATATTTTCAGTCCCTCTCCTGCTTCCATAAGTAACCTAGGGGAGGAGAAGCAGATTCAAGTATAGGATTTATTCACACTTGTGCTACATATGAAGGGGCTTTGGGGAGATGGCATCAGCATGCAAGCTGCCAGGATGGTCCTGAGACCACCACGGGCATAACATTTGGGACAAACTGATAAGGTTAATTTATTACAAACGATTCCCCCACGGACCCTGAAGTACTGGTTTCACCACCATCTGAATGGGCTTAGTTGATGTCCCGTCCAGAAATTCTTCCACTGGTTGTACAGACGCCACTATAAATCCATGGCAAATGGAGGGAAGGTATCTGCATCCAAAACATCTGTCTGTACTAAGAGAAATGATGCTCAGACACAATGACTTTGCAATATACTTAAAATTCATTCTTCGGTGTCATTTCTTGACTAAATCTTTGCTCTCTGAGAACAGGCAATACAATTTTTATTGCATTTAAGTTGTTTTTTGGTGAAAAGAAGGAAAAGGAATTCAAAGTTAGCTTCTCATGAACAGCCACATGGTCATTCTGCTTGCGAACTTACATAATATAGCTAACATATATTACAGTCAGATACACATTTATGCACTCACAAACTTAATCATTAAAAGAGGAGACCACCTGTTTCAAATGCACTTTGCACCACAGATGATATGAACCAGAAATATTTGGTCTACAATATTTAATTCTATTTGTCTCAATCAAGAAAAACTATTAATACATTCTTAGATATAGCGAGATAGGAAAGGTGATGTTTTTCATATTTTGTGATAGCTTTACATCAATTTATTTTTCAGAATACACTAAAATAAATGTAACCTACTTTTAATAGCTGTTATTAAATTTTTTCTCTTGCTTCGTGAAAACAATCACTGTGGAGTAGAGACTACAGTGGTGGATCTAATCAATCCTACTTCATATGCAAATCAAACAAATTTCATAATTCATTTTAGAGACACATTGAAAACCTATATTGAAAACTGACTCATTTGATTCTGGATTTACATGGCAACATTTGAAACTAGTGGTCTAGCTAACACAGGCAACCATGCAGAAAGTTACAACATTCATAGAAATACCCAAGTAATTCTTGTGAACAGTAATTGCTCAAAGTAAAGAAAGAATGAATAAGAATGGGTACATGGTTTCTGTGTTGGTAACTTATTACTGAGTTCATGTTAATAAAATCAGGTCTCTTCCAAACAGAATCATGTAAACTATTGGTGTAGGCTCGAAAGAGATTATATTCAGTTAGGTACATGCAGCGTTGGAAATCTACCTTGACATTAAAAAAAAAAAAAAGTCTGGAAAAAGTCATTTCTCTTCCATTTTTCTCAATAGCTCAATTTTATTTTAAAGTCCGAGTAAAAACTCTGGGACCAGTTTACTTTTTCTAACATCATGGCCATATCACATACTTTCTTTCCCACCCACTACCAATCTTCCCAGTAAAATATAACACAAAAACCCTGCCTCCAAACAAAACAGAAAACAAAACCCCTAGCCCCCAAACAAAACAATAATCTTGAGCAAAGAACTCAATCATTTTTTTTAAAGGTTGAAAACACTGGCAACATTATTTTCACTTCAGTCACTTTACTCATGTAAATGAATGCTTCACGAATGCTAAGTGCTCCTGAGGCTCAAGAGAGAATCCAATATAAAGAATTAAAGGACAGCATCTCAGCCATTTGGCTGGGCAGTGGAAGTGCTTGGTAAATGCAGAATTGAGTGTGCAGGGTGTCCTCCTAAGGGGAACGCTGCTACACATCGCTGGGTGACCGTGCTCTCTGGGAGAGACTGGAGGGGATGCAGCCGCAGCAAATGAGACAGAGGGCTTTCTGGATCTCTTGGTTTCTGAAAGCATATATGACGGGGTTGATGATGGAGTTGTAGGTGGCGGGCAGGAGGGTGGCGTAGGTGTAGATGGAGGGGTAGGTGTAATCAGCTATCAAGGAATAGAGTGTGAAAGGCATCCAGCAAGCAGCAAAGGTCCCCAGAATGATGGCCAGGGTGGAGACCCCCTTCCGGGTGGTCACATAGTGGGAGGTGGCCAGGAAGTGATGCTGCAGGGCTATCTGATGGGCGTGCCTCATCACAATCTTGCAGATCTGGATGTAGAGCTGAAGCATGAGCGCAAACATGAAGAGGAAGGAGACCGAGAGGATGGCCGCATTGTTCTTGGTGAGAGGTCTGACCACACTGCAGGTGGACTCGTCTCTGAGGCAGTTCCAGCCCATGATGGGCAGCAGTCCCAGGCAGATGGAGGTCCCCCAGAGCATGATGAGCATGACATAGGTGAACGTGACTGTCCTCTCCGAGTGGTATGTCAGAGCGTAATACAGGGAGAGGTAGCGGTCAACAGTGATAGCCAGCAAGCTGCAGACAGAGGCAGAGAAAGAGGCGACAATGAGTCCGATTGTGACCAGCTTGGTGGCTTCTGATTGAAGCAGGTAGGCAAAAACAAAATTGATGATGAGTCCGATGCCGGCCAGCAAGTCTGCAAGAGCCAGGCTGCCTATTAGCAGGAACATGGGTGCTCGCAGGCTGGGGTTATGGAAGATGATAAGGACCACAATGGCATTTTCACAGGAGATGAGGGTTCCTGAGGTACACAAGACAATGTCCCAAGGGTTGACAACGAGCTCAGGCTCCGGCTCTACAACAGGAACCTGGGAGGAGACGGCCGCCGAGACGTTCTCTGCAGCGCCAGCATCTAAATAATCCCGAGGCAGCCCGCTTAAATTGACCTTCAGGTCTTCATTCATTTTAACCCTCGTCCTCTTCAACGAAAAGACAGGCTTTTTAATGTTTAGACACAGCAGGGTGACAATCCAAGATCATGCAAAAAACACACAAACAGAAAGCCAGCCCCTACTCAGACACTACCATCAAATGCCACAAGCTTCATGAATTATAAAGTGTTGTGGAATAAAACAAAAGGCGAAGTCTCCGTGGTTTCAAACCCACGACCACAAATGCGTTTGGCGCTGGGGACAACACAGGATAGGACTTGAAAACACGAGCGTGAGTGAGGCAGGCACACACGCAACCGCGGCGGTCTGTTTGCTAAAGTGCTGGGAACGCACATCTGAAAATCACATCTTGCATGCTGGAAACGAACCACTGTTTGACATCTGGGCTGCCGCCGACAAAGCCACGCCGCAGCGACAAGTCGCGAGCCGGGGCGCCATCCTCGATGGAATATTTAAATCGCCTATTTCCATCGAACTCCGCCCCCCCAACAATCCCTCGCGCGCGTGCACACACACACACCCCCCAGCCAGAACAAAGAGGGGTCCCAGACGTCCCCCGTGTGCACAGGGCAGTCGGGCCAGGGTCACAAAAGGCAGGTGTGTGCCATGGGGGTGTGGAGACAGACAGACAGACACACGCCCATGCACTGCCGCCGCTCCCTCCGGGCGGAGGACGCGAGGGGACAGACAGGGCGCCGGGACAGGCGGCCCGCGGGGGCGGGGGTCATCAAGGGGGTCACCTTGGCGCGCCCAGGCCGAGGGGGCTCCTCCGGTGCTTCCGAAGCGCG